CAAGTTGTATCAGACTTGTATACAGCTCTCAACTCTTATTGGCATGTTGCTTTCAATATCATTGCATGTCACTTTCTGCAGCAGTGTTGAAAATATTGCACTAGTTCTGTCAGTGCTGAAAATATTGCACTGGTTCTACCAGTGCTGAAAATATTGCACTAGTTCTGTCAGTGTTGAAAATATTGCACTAGTTCTGTCAGTGTTGAAAATATTGTACTAGTTCTATCAGTGTTGAAAATATTGCACTAGTTCTGTCAGTGCCGAAAATATTGCACTAGTTCTATCAGTGTTGAAAATATTGTACTGGTTCTATCAGTGCTGAAAATATTGCACTAGTTCTGTCAGTGCTGAAAATATTGCACTGGTTCTATCAGTGTTGAAAATATTGCACTGGTTCTGTCAGTGCTGAAAATATTGTACTAGTTCTATCAGTGTTGAAAATATTGCACTGGTTCTATCAGTGCTGAAAATATTGCACTAGTTCTGTCAGTGCTGAAAATATTGCACTGGTTCTATCAGTGTTGAAAATATTGCACTAGTTCTGTCAGTGCTGAAAATATTGCACTGGTTCTATCAGTGTTGAAAATATTGCACTGGTTCTGTCAGTGCTGAAAATATTGCACTGGTTCTATCGGTGCTGAAAATATTGCACTGGTTCTATATCAGCACTGAAAATATTGCACTGGTTCTATAAGTGCTGAAAATATTGCTCTGGTTCTATCAGTGCTGAAAATATTGCACTGGTTCTATCAGTGCTGGAAATATTGCACTGGTTCTGTCAGCACTGAAAATATTGCACTAGTTCTATAAGTGCTGAAAATATTGCTCTGGTTCTATCAGTGCTGAAAATATTGCACTGGTTCTATCAGTGCTGGAAATATTGCACTGGTTCTATCAGTGTTGAAAATATTGCACTGGTTCTGTCAGTGCTGAAAATATTGCACTGGTTCTATAAGTGCTGAAAATATTGCACTGGTTCTATAAGCGCTGAAAATATTGCACTGGTTCTATCAGTGCTGAAAATATTGCACTGGTTCTATCAGTGCTGGAAATATTGCACTGGTTCTATCAGTGTTGAAAATATAGCACTGGTTCTGTCAGTGCTGAAAATATTGCACTGGTTCTATAAGTGCTGAAAATATTGCACTGGTTCTATAAGCGCTGAAAATATTGCACTGGTTCTATCAGTGCTGAAAATATTGCACTGGTTCTATATGCAAAACGGCTTGATACAGTTATATGCATTAATGAGGTCACATATGTGGTCATGTGATAAGTAAATCACCTCTCTTCTGCAATGCCTTTACTATAGCCCTGGTCCCCACTTTCAACAGTGATTACGTCTTTAGTTATGTATAATAATGAAGTCACATGACCAGACTTATGCAAATTATCTAATTAACCTGTATGGATTTCAACTCTAATGTAATTTTACGTAATGTGGGCTAACAAAGAGCATCTATGTACCCCGGCTATGTACCAAGTTTCATTTAAATGTTATGATTAGTACTGGAGATACTGTGTAACACTTGTACATTGGCTTAATTAAGTATTTATGCACACAATTTAATCCTAAACTAAACATATGTGGCTTATCTAAGAACATCTATATACTAGGTATCATTGACATCTGACGAGTGTTTGTTGAGATGTCAGTAGAAAATCTGATAATTGGATAACTATTATGCAAATTAGGTAATTAATATTTACAGATTAATAATAGGATCTGTGCTTTGTTTTATTCATTCTGACTATCTGTTCTTGGGATAATAGTGTAATAGACGCACACATACAGACACACACACACACA